CATATTTGACCTCTTGACCTTGAAGTTTGACCAACTTTTGCAAAAATTTTACCAAACTTGAACCTTGACCATAACTTTTGAACGGTTGGCTAGGGCTTTTATATTTCACGTGTATTATGTACGTGTGACCAGACCTTTCTTTGGGTACCAACACTTTTGACCTTGCCCTTGGAGTTTGACCTACTTTTGAAAAAACTTTAAACTTGGCCATAACTTTTGAACGGTTGGTGCTAGGACTATCATATAATCACGAGTATTCCTTGTGACAAGATCTTCCTTTGGGTACTGATATTTTTTACCTCTTGACACCTCTTGAGTTGACCTATATTTGTAAAAACTTTAACCTTCATTAGGCCGAAAGCACAGTTCTTACCAGCAACGTATACAGCCAAAGCCATAAGGACAATGAAAATTCTTCTTCGCTTCATTTCATTTTCTGCAAATTAAAACATGGTAAAGTTTTACACTAGTCTACACACTAATAACTAAATAATATTTGATTGATATATTTTAAAAAAAAAAGAGATAGATGATGAGTGAAACATTTTAAAACTTTTATGTGGGGCTCAAGCCAGTGAAACAAGAACTGACCCATCAATCAGTCTTTATAGCTCTTGCCGCCGTTCTTTGTAACTCACATGTATGTAGATATATGTATATATGTGAAGTATGCGCCTTCTAAAAAAAAAAAATCTGGGACACATACCAAAGATTCAATTCAAAGCATCCCATATGTTTAGAAGTGAAAGAGTTACACTTAATAATGCACCTAATACACCAAATGTAACTTTCATAGTGTTTTATTTGATAAGTATTTCGTGATTTAAATTTTAGTACACTAAGGATGATGAGGGAAAAAAAGAAAAATATTTTGTTACCTGCATGATATACCTTTCCGTTGATTAATATAAGTATGTTTATCCATGTACAACATACATACATACATACACAAATACCTATATAAGCCCTCGGGAGTTATTTATCATAACTTTGTGTCTTGTTGGGTACAAAACGGAAGTTCCTACAAACATTCTCGACCATGGTGTCTTCTCCCACATCTGTGACGTCCAATATACATGTAATATTATCGACGTGTATCCTGATCGATGCATTATAGCAAAGGCGTTTTGGAAAGGGAGAAGTTCTTTCAAAATATTTTTGAAACAAAAAAAAAATTCATTATTCGTCTGTGTAAAAAAGAATGACTCCCCGAGTGCACCGTTGAACCCACAAAAAGTTCCCCTTTTATGAAAAAAAAAATTTTGGCTGATTACATTTCTGCAGCGGGCAGTGCTTTGCGTTGGATTGACAGATGTTTGTAAGGAAAGCAGAAAAGAACTGTGGAATATATGAATATAATCTCATACTACTACACAGTCGTACGTGACCTTGAGTCAAACATCTTTACTTCTTGTACGCAATCTTGTTCAGACCAGTGCCTCTTTTTTCCCTTTCTCCGCATATAACATTATATGATATTTCGTATGTTGATGAACCAGCATGAGATAGCATTCTCATCATATGCCCTTGACCTCCATCTGAAAATGTTAGTATTTTTTAAAAGAAAATTGTCCAGGAAAGGGGGGGGTGTCTTTATCATCAAAGATTATTTTACCTGGCAAGTGGGAATATCACTAAATACGTAATGTATGGCTTTCCACCAGGATCCATGTGTCCTTGATCGTATATTTTATAACAAAGTTTGAAATATTGGTGGATCATGCACATATCAAAAGGGTGTGTGGGTGGGGTTGGAAAGTGACTTGTCTCTCTCCCCCAAGAAATAGGTGTGGAACACACACACCCCCCCGGGAAAGAATTTCTGAATCCCCACATGTGGATATACATTGTACCACGAATATTACCATTCAACAGTACATATATTTTATCATAATCCAAATATGACCTCGACATCACAGTTTAAAGGTTTTTTTTCAAGTAAACTTAATGAGATTATGGGATTCTCAATAAAAAAAAAAAGATTGCCGAAAATCGATATTGCATTACCGATTTTTTTTTGACCTCCAGATATCCTTAACTTCTAAATTTAAAAGCTAAAGATTTTGTATTGGAAACATACATTTGCAATTATGGTTGATTTCAAACGAGGGTCAACTAAATGTAAAAATACAAAAAATCATATACTGCATAAGTTTATATTTGCATAACAATATTTCCTAAAATACTGATAAAGTTAATTAATACAGATATTGACAATTCAATAAATCACAGTGAAAATGTTTCATCTGCCTTCTTTTTAACATAAATAATTCAAAGGAACATACTGGATATAATTTCAAAATTTTTATAATTAGTACTATTTGAATTGATTATACATGTAAAGAAATTCAAAGAGAACTGTACAATTCTTACAGTTAAAAAAAAATACCAGTTTAAAAATTTAGAGTATCTCAAAATGTGCAAACTATTGAACATCAAGCTGGCAATTTTATAGCACTGAATACCCGTAAAAAAGCTGAACCTTTACATGCAATAAAACATATCACAATGCCCACTTGAGTTAAATTGCTCTTTCTGAGAATATATACAACATACAATGTATTTTTGTTCCTCTTTCTATATCAGCTCCGGGGGTCATGGAAGAACAAACATGAATGTATACATAAATCAATCTACTATATGTATGAAGGTACCGGGTAGCATTTGTATCACAGATTGTAACCGTAAGTGTTAGATTATGACCCCCCCCCCCACAAATACACACAAAAATGATTCTACATGCCTTAAAACCTGTTATTTGATTTTTTACTTTGCTGTATATGACTATTTTATTCTCTTGTGATGTGTATGGTTAACTATTCACTCCTAGTGTGGCTCAAGGATTATGAATTGAACAAAAATTACCAGTATATGTACTCCTAAAACTATATGAAGAGGCTCATTTGCATAGTTAAAAAATGATCTATCAAGGAAGAAGTCAAAAATAGTCAAAAAAAGACTGCATGGAAACACAAACTACAGATAGTAAAGGAAATTAATGCAGGGATATAAACTCTGAAATTGCCAAAAATAATAACAAAATGCAAAATCTGTTGGATGCAGATTCCTATTCACATGAGCCTAAAAGCCTAACAAGCCTATTTTTTTGTAACTGGAAAACATATTTCCTAATATGTGAAAACTTTGCAGAATAAAGCAAAATTAATGGAAATTAACATAAAAATCTATTATGATCTTTCATTTTCAAAATATATACATACAGTAAAACCTCATTCATCATCGGATACCCAAGGTTGACTTCGTCTTTTACTCATCACCTGTTGGCAAACTCACCGAAATATTGTATGTAATTAATATGCACAGGTCATTTGATTGGCTGCTGCACAGAATCGTGAAGGCTTATCAACGAATCACACTTTATGTTACGTATTCAGCAATGACAAATGCTAGTCAACACACCAATTGTAAACAAATCCACTCACCGGTGCATTTAGCAGATTGAGAAAGTAACTCCTATATTATTCCTGAATGGGATTTAATGCCAGTGACATGCACGACATGTTTTTTTTATTTTAAAACAAAATTCGCATGTTTTAACAGTGTCACAAAAAATTACCATAAATAGCAAACTTATAAATGTATTTTCAAAATTGAAGAGTTCAAACTTTCTGATTGGTTGTCTATAATCAATGAATTTGCATAAAAAAACGACAGTATTTCTGCAAGTTTGCCAATGGGTGATAAGTAAAGGACAAGAACATCCCTGGGTATCTGATGACGAACCTCATTATCCTAAAACTCAATTTGGGGATTTGACATACTAAAGTTAAAAATATCTGTCTCATGGTCATAAACATGTATTTAATTTTTAAAATGAGTCTTGTATGCACTACGGTATATCTTGTCTATTTATAGTCCTTATGTAATCTAAACAAGTGCAAAAGGTTCACAAAACTTCAAATTCACCAGGTTTGAAGCCATATAAAAACCATCAGCACAGCAGAATAATGTGAATTTGTGGAATAAAATACATACATGTATGTAAACACGTTAAACTAATGTACACACAAGCCAGAAGATGGAGGGATACAACTGAATAGATTCTGAAAGCATACATGTATTTAAGGTGACATGAGTGGATAGGCAAAAAGGGTACCCAAAAGGTACATTATGTACATACATGTATATATACTTTGTATGGAGCCAAATTGTATATTCAAAATACGATGGTTTTATGTACATATATTTACATTTGCAAATGTTTTCTTTTATATAACACTATTAAAAGCAATGCGTATCTATATCCGTATAAACATGGGTTCCTCGCGTCAGAAACGTTCGATGTAATTTCTCAGTGACATCATAAAGGGTCGACGCACAATCAATAGATCAAACTCGTGCTGTTGAGTTTGAAAAAATAAAACATTTCACGCGTTGAAGGTTATAATCAGGCTACTATATAATATGAATAAGTCACAAATGTAAATATAAGTAATAAGGTATCATTTTAAAACATCTTTCGGGATATAAATACGGGTTGGTACGCGATCAAATTTACCATAAAGCCCTTCGGGCTTTATGGAATTTGATCTCGTGACCAACCCATATTTATATCCCGATAGATGTTTAAAAATGATACCTTATTTCTTAAATATATACTTTGTATAAAATTAATTCTTTGCATTATATTCATAATAGACTGGTTTTAAGTTATAACAATACTATGCCTTATGAAGGCATAAAATTATAGGGGTGAAAAAAATCTAAAATGCATTTAATTGCTTAAACATGATGAAATATCACTTTTTTTGTTAAAATGATTTGGAAGCACTGCTGTATTGTTGGAAATGAGGTGTAAATTACATCTCATACATCAATGCAGAAATATGTACATCTAACGTGTAAAAAAAAAAAATAGAAGCAGTAAGTACATTGTACTTATAAATAAAACCTAACACCAACTGGCTATCTACAACAATTAATAATCAAAACAGAGCACAACATAACTACTCTAGATTCCGATATAAGCTATATATGTAAAACTCTTATATATATGTATTTAAAGAAAAGTACATAAATAAAATGTAAATAAAAAATCATAAAAAATATACACATGCCTTTCTAATAAATCTATCTTATAAATCAGGTACTGGTAACTAATATTACAGAACTTATTTTTGATCTACATCAATAAAGAGTGGTTAGCTATAACAGTATCGCCTTCCTCCTCTAAGTCCACTTCCTTACAAAGTGTCAAAGCCTGCATCTTTTGTTCCAACATTTCTGTTTGTATCTGAAAATAATGATATAAATATTATATATCACTCGATCAACACAACAAAACAATCATTACCAGACAAATATGTGATATAATCGTATATATAGAATACCTGTTGTATACATGTATTAATTTTTTCAATGTAAAATACTTCTTTCATTAAGTTGATAAATAAATTATTAATTTATCTGATCATTAAAAAGTAGAAAAACAACCATAACTTTTCTCTTCTTTTTTTCTTTAAATTTTAGTGTATTTTATTCTTGCTTGGTAGAACTGCAATCTAGAGCATTAAATATCCCTTTCAAAATGTATTTCTACTCACTACAAACAGAGCATGCATGGGATATAGAGAGCAGGTATAGTATCATTATTTTCATGATTTAACTGATGGTGTTACAGTATAGTGTGTTATGGATAGCTATTTTTGCTACAAATTGGGGTAGACTATTCCTGACATTCATTATACATGTAATGTGGAATAATTAATAATACAGTAAAACAAGCTTATAGTAAATTAAGTGCAAGGGATTGGCAATTTCTGATCGTAATAAGTGTTATTTGCTATATCTGATGTGCTTTAAGTACCGCTTCAGAAATTGCAAAAATGAAAATCACTTTGTGAATTCATTATAAGCGTTTTCGCTATAACCATGTTTTACTGTATTGTACTAGTCGTGTAATAATTTCTTTCAATTAAACAAACTGCTACACAAATGTTAGTAATGTCTGCAAATGCAGTGTTACCCATAAAGAATCTGTATTAATCAGCTGAGCTATGCTACTATTAACTACATGTACTACTAAGAGGACAGTCATTTTTTAGTAAATAAAAAGCTGTGTTTCACCAACTGCCACATATAATCAGTGCATATAACTCACCTAACATTTGATATAATGTAGCTGACCTGCAATATACACTCAGAAAGCAAAAATATCCATATACAATTGGTATACTATGTAAAATTGTTACAACCTAGCATATGTACCAGTACTTCAAAATTCTATATCACAACATTTATCACTATTTGTTTATTTTCTTTTTTAAAAACCATATCAGTCCCAATGACATCAGTGACAATCCAAATATCAACCCCTTATTTTTCCAGAATCTCAAGATTCCCCCCTCTGTATTTTCAACTCTTATCTTTTCAACTCTTATGTTTTCAACATTTTCAACACTTGTCTTTTCATCACTCTCACTACAGGGCTTCACCTGATCGTCCAATAGAATTATACGTCCCTCAACCTCAGGGGAAAGATGACATTGTTCCTCTTCCTCGTTATAGACGCTCTTTTGACGACTCAGGCGACGCTCCAGTTTGGATATGGTGGCTGCTTGGTCCAGTTTGCGGGCCATGCTCCGTTTTCTGAGGTTAGAAATAAACTTCTGCACCAGCCCTCTCTTCCTGATGTCCAGTTAGTAGTCCAAACAAAATGCATGCAAAAACACAGAAACACAAAAGTAGGAATACAAACATTTGAACAAAAACAAACAACAAATTCATGCAAAAACAAAAACAAAAGGGCCATGGCAAAAGTCAGGGCAATTTAAGTCAACAATAACATCATAAAACTAGGCTAAATTCTTTCATTATAAATCCTCTTGACTAAACTCAAATATCTTTTTTTTTCATGCTTATATGCATTCCACTGTTTCTCAGTCAATATTATAGAGCTTTGAAACTGCAAGGCTGGTTATGTCTAACAACTTTTAACAAACAGATAATTTGCTCTTCTTCTGTTTGATCCCATGGTTTATTTAACTTAAATTTTTCCTTAAAAAGCTTCAATTCACAATTGGGCTAAAAGAAGTGAGTGTCACTGACTATTTGTTACATTTTATAGATATTTAAATGATAATTTTTTTTCTACCAGTTGATTTGACAATTACTCCTGATCAAAAACAATTTTTTTAACACATTCATAGTGGCGGATGTTGTCAACTAAGCTTAATATTTTGCATCTGTTTTCTATAAGAAAAAAAAAAAAAACAACCAAAACTTGCATTTTTGGGAGGGGGGGGGGGGGGGATAATTTGGCACTGTCTTAAATAAAGTTTGAAAAAATGTGTTTTCCACTAGTCAACACAAAATTCTCCTTAGAATAAATTCAACAAAAACATATAGTTCATCCACAAATCCATTAAGAATTCACTGAATACAAATGATTTTATCCTCATTCCCCCAGTTAGTGAATACATGAACATGTATTTAATACCGAGCATATACCAACCTAACTAGCCCCACTAGACTTTGTCTATGACCAGACTTGCATTCCTTGACACCTTTCATGATCTGAATGGATTCAAAATGGTTTCTCACTCCTGTACTTAGTGAACAACACTGCTCCGAGGTTACCTTGTGTAAGAAAACAATAAAATATAGAGAAACATTGACATATATGTAAATATGGTCAACTTTCATTAACAGTCAAGACTATTTCATTACAAGATGTACTTATCCGAGTACCTGTTAATCTTATTTTGAAACATTTTCATATATTGTAGCTTGTAGTAAATGTGTAACTTTATAACTCAAGATTCAGAAAAAAAAATATCCATTATATAAATGAGTTTTACTGGATATAAAAAGGCTTTTTTAAAAGTATATCAAATACCAAATAAAATTTTAAATGTAAAGTACATGTATCATTTATCTTGGATACCTGTTATTACAGTTTCACTAGCCATGGGTAACAATTTGCTCTCCTTCTCTTTTGAAAAGAGGAGGGTCACCCTTAACCAGTGAAAGAGGAGGCAAGCAGATTACCCTTGGCTGGTGAAAAGGGGACTCTCACACTTGGCTAGTGAAAGAGGAGCTATATCGAGAAACAATAAGTGAAAAGAGGAGAGAAGCGAATTGTCTTCCTTGGTAAGTGAAAGAGGAGAGGAACAAATTGTCATCCTTGACTAGTGGAGGAGGAAAGAAGTGGATTGTCTCCCTTGGTAAGTGAAAAAAAGAAAGGAGCAGGTTGTCATCCTTGGCTAGTGAAAAGAAGAGAGGAGCAGGTTGTCATCCTTTGCTAGTGTAAAAAGGAATGGAGTAGGTTGTCATCCTTGGCTGGTGTAAAGAGGAGAGGAGCAGGTTGTCATCCTTGGCTAGTGAAAGATGAGAAGAATGGATTGTCTCCCTTGAGTAATAAAAAGAGGAGAGAGCAAGCTGTCATCCTTGGCTGGTGTAAAGAAGAGAGGAGCAGGTTGTCATCCTTGTCTGGTGTAAAGAGGAGAGGAGCAGTTGTCATCCTTGGCTGGTGTAAAGAGGAGAGGAGCAGGTTGTCATCCTTGGCTGGTGTAAAGAGGAATGGAGCAGGTTGTCATCCTTGGCTGGTGTAAAGAGGAAAGGAGCAGGTTGTCATCCTTGGCTAGTGAAAGATGAGAAGAATGGATCGTCTCCCTTGAGTAATAAAAAGAGGAGAGAGCAAGTTGTCATCCTTGGCTGATGTAAAGAAGAGAGGAGCAGGTTGTCATCCTTGACTGGTGCAAAGAGGAATGGAGCAGGTTGTCATCCTTGGCTGGTGTAAAGAGGAGAGGAGCAGTTGTCATCCTTGGCTGGTGTAAAGAGGAGAGGAGCAGGTTGTCATCCTTGGCTGGTGTAAAGAGGAGAGGAGCAGGTTGTCATCCTTGGCTGTGTAAAGAGGAGAGGAGCAGGTTGTCATCCTTGGCTGTGTAAAGAGGAGAGGAGCAGGTTGTCATCCTTGGCTGTGTAAAGAGGAGAGAAGCAGGTTGTCATCCTTGGCTGGTGTAAAGAGGAGAGGTACAGCTGTCTTCCTTGGCTGGTGTAAAGAGGAGAGGAGCAGGTTGTCATCCTTGGCTGGTGTAAAGAGGAAAGGAGCAGGTTGTCATCCTTGTCTGGTGTAAAGAGGAGAGGAGCAGCTGTCATCCTTGGCTGGTGTAAAGAGGAGAGGTACAGCTGTCTTCCTTGGCTGGTGTAAAGAGGAGAGGAGCAGGTTGTCATCCTTGTCTGGAGTAAAGAGGAGAAGAGCAGGTTGTCATCCTTGTCTGGTGTAGAGAGGAGGAGAGAATATCATTACCCTTGGCTGTGTAAAGAGGAGAGAAGATCATCATCCTTGGCTAGTGAAAAGAGGATAGAATTGAAAAGAGATCATCACCCTTGGCTAGTGAGAATAGACAAGAGGCCCATGGGCCACATCGCTCACCTGAGCACATTGGCTAGGAAAAAAAGCAAAAATCAGTTACAGTATTGAAAAGTTTACAGGGAGGGGGGGGGGGGGGTGTTGAATTTTAAACTACCTGATGATGCTTTCATATCAATATAACAAATGGCTTTGTTGTTCTTGAGCAGCAGATTTTTTTCCCATATATTCATTTGTAAAAATTTGATCCCCCATTGTGGCCCCACCCTACCCCCGGGGGCCCTCATTTGAACAAATTTCATTCTACACTACCCAAAGATGCCTCCATATCAATTTGACTAATCATGGCTTTTCTGTTCTTGAGACTTTTTCCTATATATTCCTCTGTAAACTTTGATCCCCCATTGTGGCCCCACCCTACCCCCGGGGGTCATGATTTGAACAAACTTGAATCTACACTACCTGAGGATGCTTCCATATAAATATGACCAATCATGCCTTTGCTTTTCTTAAGAAGAAGATTTTTAAAGATTTTTTCCTATATATATCTATGTAAAACTTTGATCCCCCATTGTGGCCCCACCCTACCCCCGGGGGTCATGATTTGAACAAACTTGAATCTACACTACCTGAGGATGCTTCCATATAAATATGACCAATCTTGGCTTTACTGTTCTTAAGAAGAAGATTTTTAGAGATATTTTCCTATATATTTCTATGTAAAACTTTGATCCCCCATTGTGGCCCCACCCTACCCCCGGGGGTCATGATTTGAACAAACTTGAATCTACACTACCTGAGGATGCTTCCATATAAATATGACCAATCTTGGCTTTACTGTTCTTAAGAAGAAGATTTTTAGAGATATTTTCCTATATATTTCTATGTAAAACTTTGATCCCCCATTGTGGCCCCACCCTACCCCCGGGGGTCATGATTTGAACAAACTTGAATCTACACTACCTGAGGATGCTTCCATATAAATATGACCAATCTTGGCTTTACTGTTCTTAAGAAGAAGATTTTTAAAGATATTTTCCTATATATTTCTATGTAAAACTTGGATCCCCCATTGTGGCCCCACTCTATCCCCAGGGGTCATGATTTGAACAAACTTGAATCTACACTACCTGAGGATGCTTCCACATAAGTTTCATCTTTCCTGGCCCAGTGGTTCTTGAGAAGAAGATTTTTAAATGATGCCATTATTTTTTCACTAATTCCTAATTATCTCCCCTTGAAAGAGGGCGTGGCCCTTCATTTGAACAAACTTGAATCCCCTTTACCCAAGGATGCTTTGTGGCAAGTTTGGTTGAATTTGGCCCAGTGGTTCTTGAGAAGAAGATGAAAATGTGAAAAGTTTACGACGATGCCAACGACGACGACAGACAACGGACAAATTTTGATCAGAAAAGCTCATTTGAGCCTTTGGCTCAGGTGAGCTAAAAAGCAGATTGTTACCCTTGGCTAGCAAAAAGAGATGAGCAGACTGTCACCCTTGGACAGTGAAGATGTAGCAATTAAGGAAGACATTTACCAGTATTAATCCAGTATATGCATATTTAAATTTCTTAGAAAATTCGATAAAATGCTTTCCTTACCAACACTGGGCAATTCTTGAAGACATCATATCCATCCTTGCCCTCTGAAAGGTACTCCTTAGTGCAGAGTTTGTATTTCTGTTGAAAAATTCACAAAGTTAATTCAAAAAACTTTCAGTTTTTGCAGTTTTTTACCTCATATGACAAGATATTTTCTGACAAAACACTAGTTAACTTTATATCACTATGCATTTTCAGAGATAAAAAACCTCAAACTTTTCTTCGGCACATGTTCAAGTTCATAGTAGTGCTTGTAATATTTTGCATTTAGAATAACGCCATTACGCATTTAAATTATATAAATAATCTAATGCAGAAGCTATTAATAGTATCTTTTATGTGAATTTAAACCTAGTAAGCTTTTGATTGGTCGGTAAATCCATCGGTTGAAATTTTTTTTTATCTAGATATTAAATTCCTCCAACATTTCAATGCTACTTAATGTATTACCAAAAATTCACACATTTTTAGCATTGCAAACTTTTCAAAACAACCAACAGCTTACTTACAACTTTGCATATATTAAAAATGGTGTCATCATTTCTAAAAGAGAAAGTTCAGCCACTTCAGTGCACACTCAAAGTGTAATGTAAGAAAATAAATGTACTAAATTTCTGATGTTCTGTGTAATTGAATGTGTGATGTAAGATTATAATAAAATTGTGTGGTTATTACACTAGTTTCCTCAAACTCTTACCATAAAATGTTGGAAGACACCCACAAAACTTAATTAGATTAACAAAACAATATCCCAGTGGATTACAATGCTTTTTGTATTCACCTTTTCCATACTGGAATATAATCAATTTGAATATATTCAAAGTTTATGAATATCTGCATATAAAACTGGTAAATTAGCCTTGCAATTCTTGAAAATTCTTGAAAAGTTAAAGTTAAGAATAAATACTTATACATACAGTTGAAGTTCATTATCTCTAACACTGATATCTCGAATACCAGGTATATGTTGAAGTGAGTTGGCAGTCCCAACCATTTATTTTTTTTTATGTTTTAACCATGGTTATTGTATCTCAAATCATCTGATATCTCGAAGTTAAATCTTGAAGTTAAATTTTGGTCCGTCGGATTCGAGATAACAAGATTTGACTGTACAATGTAAGTTTTCTCTTTTTAAGAAATAAGGCTTTCCTCTGGAAGAATGCACAGTATGAGTAGTCTTACTTTTTTTAGATCGATAAATTGCCCTTGTACTTTGACCAGCTCTGGATCTACTCTCTGTCCTTTAGGCTTGCTGGGATTAAATCCAAAGGTAATGCCTGCCACTTGAGGGAACCGACCTTCCAATTTGGGGTATGCTGACACACCATTTTCTAATGCTTCTATTAACTGTTTTCCTGTTTAAATGTAAAATCATGTTGATTTAGGTTAAAACAAGACACAAATTTAGAAACTTAGAAATACACTAGAAATAAGTGCAATAGACATACATGTATATAACCAATTCTTGCATGGTCACATTTCAGAGTTAAATTTATGAAAAAGCCATTCTTTGAAAAATGAGCTATTGCAACAGCACTTTGCAAATTGTGATTGGCTTAAAAACTAGAGAGGAATTTAATAACTAACTCTATGTTCCCAGCAATACAGGTGGCAAATGTCAAAAGATTCATTTTGTATACAATCCAGAATAAATATTACTCCAGTTGAATGAAATGCTGCTCAGCATAAAGTAATAACGATGATATTTCTGTCCCACAATACTTGATCCTAAACCCCGCTTGCTTCTTAATATATCCTCTTACCAGTGACTTCAATGACTACCAGCTCATCCACCAGGGGGAGTATGGTGAGTAAATCGCGGAGTTTGAAGCGGCCTTTAGGGTGGATCCTGTCTGATCGGAATGTCCCAGAATTTAGAATAGCACAGTCAGCTTGAGAAATCTCCAACATAATGTCTGTCACAAAGTTTCCTACAAAGAATAACACAAGCCAAGTCTTTCAAAATGAAAAATGTTAAAATGTTTCAGATACATACCCCATTACTGGTATATGCCTTTTATAGTACCACAATGCATCTGATTTGCTCAATCATGCTAAAGACTCCATTCAAACCGATGCCAGATTTGGGGAGAAACTTACAATTATTAATGGTATGTATCATCTTTAAACATAAGCAAAGATATCAATGTGTTGCTAGAGATATGGTATATGAATAAAACACAGTTAAATTATATAAAAACAAAGACTACCAGAATTTCTGATAAACATACCTAGATTTGTTTCCCTTGATCTTATAGCAGAGAATCTGCCATCAAGTTCCACATTCATATATCCCAATACTTCTTCCATTTTACTGTTAATGTCACCTAAATATAAGTACAATCAATATATTACATATACATTTTGTAATGAAAAACTTGATAAAGTTGATATTTTATATAATTTACAAAAAAAATATTATCCTAAATCACTGATGACTTCTTATTATTAGGTCTGACAAGAGATCAATTCCTTTTTCACTATCAATAAAATGTTATATCAACCTTGCATATGTTTGACAATTTCCAAGGTTTCTGGATCCTCTGTGATATTAGACGTGACGTCCACCTTCTCAATGTCCACATGAAGGCGAAGTCCATTCCTCTTAATGGTGATCTTACTAAGGTTACGGAAATCAGTTCCACTTTTCACAATGTTGATGTCATTAACCTAGGAGATGGAAATATATTTGACTAATTTTTCTTCAAATGAATTTTTTTTTTACATTTGATATTTTGTATTTCTTATAGAAAACGATGCCTTAAAAGGCAATTTATGTACATACACAATTTTCTTTCAAGTTTCAACATGACATGATTTTCACTGCACTTGAAGAAAAAAAGTAACTATTAAAAGGAAATTTGTCATTGTATTTCAAAATAATTTGATAAAAGGGGCTTTTTTAACATGAAATAATCTTTCCAATGATTTATGAAAAGCCAGTGTATGAGAACACTCACTATCTCTAGACCGTAGTCATGATCATGACCTGCAAGTATGATGTCAATATCTGGTACTTGTTCTGCAAGGTGCCGGTCATTTGGCCATCGCATGTGAGTCAAGGCGACAATTAAATCAACTCCCTGAAATTTACCATGCACAATCATAAAAAGTTGTAGTTAACTGAAATCTGTGAGAAGTTAATGCAGAATATTTACACAAAGAGCAACTATATTTAGAGTATTTACCTGTACCTGTATTTAGAGGTTAATTGAACCTTAACATAAAAATGTGTATAATTGAAATCTTAACAATTTCTTTTTTCCAACATTTCTGACACATTAAGTTTTATAAAGTCTACGAACACAAAAATGAATGAACTGTAGGCCTTTTATCTCTGACAATTTTTTTTTACTTGTGTTCCCCCTTTAATCATATATAAAGTGATTTAATTCTGGGTTCATAGCAGGTAACACTACTTAATTGTTTTACAGCTGTTTTTTTTAACTTTACAAACTGAAAAAAGGTGTTCTATAATTATGTTTCACTTAAAATGAAAAAAAAAAGAAATAAACAGTGTAAGAGAATGCTACCTTTTGCTTTAAATCCTTGCAGAGTTCTTTCCCTTTAGAAACAAAATCTATATATGTAACATCTTCTGGGTCCAATGTTGCTAGAGTATCAATCCACTCCTCTTCCACTAAGCCAATCACTCCTACCTAATAAAAATAAAACAAACACCTGAACCAGAATTGTACTTTTAATGCTTATTAATGCTTTTCACTTAAGAGAATCATCTTTGCTAACCAAGGGTTTCTGATCCACTCCACTCCTCACAAACCCTTGGGCTTACAAGGAGTGAATTAGATCAGAAAACCTTGGCTAGCAAAGATGTAATAGTTAATAGTATGTTCTTATTTACAAGTATACCTCTTTATAGCCTTGTACAGGTTAATAATGATAAACACCCTTACCTTATACCCATTCCATTCAATAACACATGACTCCTGTCCATCTGCCAATGATTTTTTGGTCAAGTTGTCTGTAACATTACTGAGTAACCATGGAAACTTGGTCTTCTCTGTCATCTCACACAAATGATCAACTCCAAAATCTAGCAGTTAAGATTACAGGTATACAATATTTGACCTTTGAAACAATTAAATATCAGAACACTCATACTCTTCGTTTCACTTAATTTTTACAGTTAATATAAACAAAAATCTAAGTTTTATCCAAGAAAAACATTTACCAAAGTCATGATTTCCAAACACTGCAGCATGTGTGCCTACTGCATTTAGGATTGGTATCATCTGTTCACCTTTTAAGAATATGCTCACTTAAAAAAAAAAAAAAAAGAGTGAAGTTTTAAAACATTTAGATTTTTAGTTTTGCATAGTGTATACAAATGCTATTTAAATTTGAAATATGAAAACCTTACTTTTTCTCATTCAAAAGTTTTGACCAAGGTTACAAGTTTCTGTGACAGACTTACAGAGATCAACAGACAGACTGAGGTTAAATGTCCCCTCACTTTATCCAAAGTGGGGGACAAAACTATCAACATGATTATGACATGTACATAACTTATGATAACTATTATACATGAAATTTCAAAAATGACTTACACAATGAAGGATTCAGTACATCCCCACTAAACAGGACCAGGGGGTTCAGTGACTGGTAGGATTTGACACAGCCAACAAATCTAGCAGCCCCACCCACAGGCTCATCTTTCTGAGGTTCAAGGTTATATACATCATTGAAGTGAAGGATTACTAGATCATTTTGTGGCATCCTTCTTTCATCTGTTAATTAACATAAAATCATTACATAATCTAGTACCCTACTCCTCTTTCAGTATAAATGTGAAAAGAAAAAAAATAATAATTGGGATACTCTAATAGGTAAAAGAAGAAATTTTTTTTAAAAGATAAAACATAGTACCGGTACATTTCCTGAGTTTCCTGTGTATGTGTGTTTTTTTTTTTATAATGGATAACATTTGCAAACAATCATGCATGCATGTACATATAAAAACCTTATCAAACTACCAAATGCAGTCATTGCAGTGACAGATGAATGCAAGCAACAAAAGAACAATTGATAAAAACTTGTTTACACAGAGTCTTATACATGTACACACAAGGTCTCAAAAGATGCATTTTTTATTACATGTGTACATTTAAACATGTTAAACTTGAGAGATTTACTGGCCTGACACATAATGCAAACAAACCTACTCAACACGGCTCAAGTATGAGTTATACAGTAATGCTACAGGTAAAATACAGGTAACACACACACACAAAAGTCAGAATTAAAAATTATATTTTTATAAATATAGAGCTGCATGAATTGTGCTTCCTTGCACTCTTCTTTATTTTATCATGATCATAATCCATTGTTGACTAGATTTATATTTTTGAAGTATGGGATCTTACAGTTCGTGATCAAAATTTAAATACTTACAAGAATGACTGCAATTAATTTCTATAATATTACTGTGGACTATGTATAAAAACATTACTCTTTTTTCAATTCTTTTGAGAGGAAAATCTCTGTACGTTTTTTAAAGGTGCTTGGACACAGATTTGAAGTTAATATTTTCTCAGATTTTCTGTATAATTTCATGACTTATATGTTGCTATAGCATTTCATACTGAAATATAATAAAAATCTTATTTCATCTCGAAGTTATTGAAACTTCAAATTTCTGGACGCGTTTGATTGACACATCCTTGCACTTTCACAATTTTTAATTTTATTCTTAATGCTTAAGAAAAGTGGCAGTTTTGTTGTGTATAAATGAAAAGTATTAAAACTATAATCCAGAAAATTCAGAGTAGAAATGTTTGAAAGCAAAACCCACTCACAGTATTGTCAGTCCGTGCTCAGTGGTGTGTGCAGACTTTAACAATTGAACTCACCCGGTGAATCGTAAACATTAACAATAACAGAGCTCATGCCCTGTTTACAGAAACAGTTTACGTTTCACGGGTGTATTCAATTTGTTAAACTCTGTACACAACACTGAGCACGGGCTGACGATATTAGTGAGGGGGTTTGCTTTCGCACATTTCTACTCTGAATTTTCTGGATTATAGATGTAATGTTTTTCATTAATACAGAACAAAATCGCTTCTTTTCTTAAATATTAAGAATAAAAATAAAATTTGTGAAAGTGCAAGGATGTGTTAATCAAACGCGTCCAGGAATTCATAGTTCCAAAAATTTCCAGATAAAATAAGTTTTTAATTATATTTTCGTGTGAAATGCTATTGCAATATATAAGTCGTGATATTATACAGAAATTTTGAGAAAATATTAACTTCAAATCTGTGTCTAAGCACCTTTAAAGGAGAAAAAAAAATCACAATCATTTTATCAAGTTACAGTTTTTATCAAATGTGGCTTTGAAACTTTAAATTGACATTTATTTCCATTTAAAAGATGTTAAATCCACCATAAGTGATATTACACATAGAAATAAGTCATTAAACATATTCAGTAAAAAGTTATTTTGAAGCCTTTGGCTGTATGTGTCATGACATAATATATGACATATAATCTTTATATATATATATATAAGTCTGACAAAATATATCAACATACATTGCATAACTTTTAATTAGCTTTTATACTCTATCTTAATTCTTAAACTGACGTAACTAATACAGGGCCTCACTGTATGTATGCAGGAATTATGTTGATTAGCAATATCAGCTAATTAAATTCTTATTAAAAAAAACACATTCACGTAATTTCATGCACACCTTTAAAAAATGTATCACCGTTGCCACACAGCAATGCTTAATCCCCCCCCCCCCCCCCCCGCCCGATTTTTAGTCATTGGAATTTGCAAATACACTCTTACAAAGTCGTGGCATTTAAAGCATTAACTTCTAGAAGTTGTCAAAGCTTCATTCTAATTAATTAATTTTCAAAGCAAATACTTACATAAGGATATGACGAAAAATATGAGCAATCAATATTTTTCATCTGCTTCGAATATTTTGATTCTTCCGGATTGGAACTCTTTTGTACTTCCTTTTCACGTCGGCCATCGGTTTGAGGTATGACAGACCGTTGTATCTCTGATATATCTAGCAATATCCCCAACATCATTTGTTATACAAGATAAATAAAACTATATATACACGAAAGAGATCGATACAAAAGTAAACATCAGAGTTTTTTCTTGAAATGAAGTAGTGAAACGTAATAAGTGACGAAAATATATGACTGTTTACACACAGAGATCTAAGACTATTTAAGTAGGAAATTTGGTTTTATAAAATTTGGATTATTGTTTTACGTCAGTTATGGGGAAAGTCCCATAGAATTCAATTCTAGAAATTATCACTTAAGTGTGGATGGGTATCATCGTGAAAATCGCAACTGTTATTTCCTTGGAACAATCTTGAAAACTTGCTGTTACCGAAGAGTGCTATTTCATTGCATTTATATTTTGAATAAATGTTGTAAACATACATTTAATCAGAGGTCAGAGTTTGCAAAACTTGAATAATTATGTCGGTCAACTTTCAAGGTTTTGCAGGGCATTTGCTAAAAAGAAAAAATGGAGTGTTGGATGTGTTTTTCATTGCTTATACTAGATTTAGCTACGTAGCTTGAATTACTTACATCGCTTTATTTACCTACCTGAAGTAGCTTTGTTTAGCTACTAAATCAGACTTATTTCTTAAATAAGAATTTTTCCCAGAAAGTGCAGAAAATTGCTCTTTGATGCAGTGATAATTTTCAACTTTGAACTCATCTGAAAACAATTCATGAAAAAATCACTCTTGGAGATGCGTCTTTTTTTGCGCAATTGCAATCAAAGTTCTAAAAGTTTTGGGGCTATATACAACAGTTAATTTGTGACCTAACAGTTACTTCTTGAGTGTAATAACAAAGAAAACCAGTTTTGGTTGACATGAGCACAATGTGAAGTAATCATACTTATCCATGCCTCATCGCGCACAAGGTGTGTACAGTTACTCAAACAGTGGGAATACATATTTTCCTTAAAAGTGATCAAACGCAGCAATGGTAAAACTATCTCTGCTTTAGATTGATTTTTAAATGATACCTAGAATAAATATTAGTAGACATTTTCTTGCGACTTTTTGTCTTTTTAAAATAAAAAGCAAAATTGTGAAAAGTTGCCTTGAAATAGCTAAATAAAGCTACCTGAGGTAGGTAAATAAAGCTACGGTAGGTAATTTTAGCTACGTAGCTAAATGTACTGATTGTACTGGACCTGTATATGAAACATGTCAATTGCTTTTGAACTCTAAAGTCCAATCATTTTATCAGAAATAAATCATATTTCATCAATTGTGACACAAATTTGGTATTTTACACTTTAAAAATGCTTCAGCTTGTAAATGTATAATTTATTGTGGACACATTTTATGTAGGCATGGCCCCAAAGAGGAACAACGTTATCCCGAATGGGCATTTTCATAAAGACTGGCAGCGCTATGTGAGGAATTGGTTCAACCAGCCTGCCAGGAAGAAGAGGAGGCATGATAACAGACTTAAAAAGGCACGCCGTATCGCTCCCCGACCTGTAGCAGGTGCTCTTAGACCAATTGTTAAATGCCCAACTTTTAAATACAACACTAAAATCAGGGCAGGCAAGGGATTCACACTGGATGAGTTGAAGGTAAATCTTGTTAACAAAATAAACTTGAATTCAAAAAAATAAGCTCAGTTGCTGATTGACTGTGTCATTTAAATGTACGTGCTAGAATAATGGGGTATGAAATATAATTGTGAAAAAAGATAGTTTTCAGTAGGCCCAAATTATCAAGAGTTATTTCCCGTTGGCCGCCATATTGGAGGTCAACATGCTCATATTCCTTCATTATTCAACCAACTTTAAATTTAGCATTGTTTTTCTGAAAAATATACATTTGTTAAAGCCTCCTTTATTTCATAATTTTTATTCTATAAAGTTTTTTCCCCAAATATTTCTGATACACCCTCTTAGATTTGGTAAGACAAAGAGGAAAAATTACCAGGTTGACCACCATTATGGTGGCCAAGGGAAATAACTCGTAGAGAAAATACGTCATATGAAAACTATCTATAAGGATTTTAGGCATAAAATATTTTATTTAGTAGCGATGATTTTTACATTCAGACATATCTATGAGTCTTCCTGAAACATCAAGACAAATTTAATTAGTCAAGTCAAGTCAAGTTACATCAGAGTTGTCAAAATTTTAAAACACTGTTAGACATTTGGTCTGACAGAGTGAAAGGGTCTGTCTGACAAGATGAAGTTTCGTCTGAAATGTACCTTATTTTTGTACAGAAAGGAACCCCAAATGCCCTTATTGTTGTCATCAGTATTCCTTCTCATGATTTTCTTTTCTTACGGAAAGAGAAGTATTTCATCTGAGACATAATAACATGATTTAATTATCTCATAAATGTGGTGGATAGTACTCAGACAATAAAGCTATGCTTTATTGCTTTATTCATGGATATGTTTTATCAATAACACTTCCAGTTTAGACACAACCCCTAGCTTCAAGATGTAAATTTATTGAAACTTTTTTTTTATTTGTGAACGTTCTTGCATTATCAAATGAATGCTGATGAGCAAAAATGTTTGTTAAAAACAAAAAAAAGACTTGTTTTACTTCAATGATATGTCTTCTTCTTTTTTACTGGATACTGTGATAACGAATGTTTAAACCCTCCCCCCTGCCCCTTTTCAACAGGGTTGGCCAGGAAATACCAGTGGTGGGAATTACCACTGGTTAATACCGGTATTTCCCGTCCCAGGAAATACTACAAATTTCTCTTAAGTGGGAAATACAAAGTTAAAGTTTTTTATTTCATTAATTCATTCAATCTTATGCAAAATTAAAATATGAAATAAACATAAAAACAGAAGATGAATAATATGGAATATGTCTCAAATTGCAATTGAACATATTCAGAATGTATCACTACTCCAGGTCCCATACCCATAAGCATTCTGAAACATTTCCCTGGCTGTATAAAACTGAAGTTTTCCAAATTAAGTTTCTTTTCAGTTTTGTAAAATTATTAAGTTTATTAATTATAAATCCAAGAACAAAAAAAAAAACAACTTGTTTTAATCCTTCTATAAACACTGTAGTCATTACAAAATATCATGTTGTTTTAACAAATTGATCTGGACAGTTTTGTGCTCCTGTTTTAAGAGATAATTACCTTGAGTAGAACTGAAAGGCTTATTCTTAGGTTTGATATTTATACCATACTCTACATTTAAGAATTTTCTTAGATAAAAACCCCAGTTGGGATCTTTGGGTTAATTTCATGGACCTTTATAGACTAGATCTGACTCAAGCATGAAACAAATGACACTCATGACTGGTATATAAATATGCTGTGTTATGATTATATAAAATGAATTACTTGGAAACCAGAATTTTTTAATCATGGAAAGTGATACCAGGTAGATATCTTAGCCAATAAGGTTGTACTTCATGTCAATATGAAAGAAATATGTAGCTATTTCATATTTCTCAGGAAATACCAGTAATTCCCGGTAAATACCAGTATTTCCCACCGTCCTGGGAAATACGACTATTTCCCAGTTTTTTGCCAACCCTGCCTTTCAATCATTCTCATTGGAAACGTTAGGCCTAGCAGTGAAGTTGGTGGTGCAAGATTCATTTGACCATACTGGCAAGTCTAGTCACTTTCAACAATGCTTTCCTACAATATACTATATAACTTACCATGGATCTACAAGTAGCCTAGCACTGTCAGTCGCTGTACGGAAAAAAATTTAAAACAGGATTTATAATCCCTCAGTCCTTACAACACTATACAACTTCCAGTCAAAAGTTATTAAAATGAATCTCCAACAGATTGTCACATATGTTTTATATGCAGCAGATATCATTCCAAGATTTCATGTTTTGTATCTACAGATAACTTTCTTTCTGCTTTCTGCATGTCAACATCAACAGTGCGATGTCATCAATTTACATGTCATCGATTTGGGTAGAAATCAATTAATGTAGATTCACAGGGGTTATCTCAAAGTTTTATTAAAAGCAAAAATCGTACGAGATAAATAGAACATCTATAATTGTGTGAATTGATATTTGCTTTATCCAACGAGTTGAAATGGTGTATATTCGCTCAGCAAGCCTCGCAAATATACACCATTTCAACTTGTTGTATAAAGCAGATATCAAATCACACAATATAGATATCCTCTGTTTATTTCTCTGCTTTAACAAAGTTGATCAACAACTATCACAATGCAGCAATCTTTGTGTTCATGTGACCTTCACTTAATAAACCCTTATCTTTTAGAAATTTTCAGTCAGTTTTGACCATGGTCGGGTCTCATTTGAATTTCTTGGTAATACTTTGCTTCCATCTACTTTTCTCCTCCTTTTTCAGGGAGGGGGTGGGGGGCAGAGACTATACTTGAACTCCAGAAGTGATGACTTATGATCTTTTTTCTCTAAATAATTTAAAACTTGCAGTCAATTCAAAGATTCTTTGATTAATTCTAACGAATGTTCAAGTACACCTGTAATAAACTGAAAAATAATAGTGTCATCTGTTGAATCTCGACTGAAATTAGTTGACAAGTTGATAACGGATTTAATTATTCTGTCCTTTCTAGGCTGCTGGAATTAACAAAAAAGTAGCTCTCACCATTGGAATTGCCGTGGATTACAGGCGCCGTAACAAGAGTCTGGAGTCCTTACAGCAAAATGCACAGAGATTGAAGGAGTACAAATCCAAATTGATCCTCTTCCCCAAGAAACAGAGCAATCCCAAGAAAGGAGATGCCACAGTAAGAAAATTTCATTTTATTGTATTTGTTGATTTTCTTTGTACAGAAGGTTCAAGTCATGTTGAGTGTATATTCTCACTCACTTAGTATGTAATATTGAAGTGATAATGTATAATACATTTTGTTTATTATGGCTGATTTATTTGCATTTTTTTAACACTCAAATGATTTTGAGGTTTGAAGAACGCAATCTCATGTTAAACTCTATACAGTTGAAATTCCTTATCTTGAACACCAATATATCTCAAATACAAGGGATATGTCAAAGTGTGTTGGAAATCCCAACCACTTTTTCTTGTGTTTTTTACCCTTGTTATCTCGAATCGTCTGATATCTTTAAAGTTTTTTCGAGTTCAAGATAAAAAGCTTTGACTGTACACATGTACTATTATATTTGTTGTTAATCATGCTAATTCATGGAAGGATGGAGAAAACAGCTATACAGGGGAATATTTAAGAGAACAGTTGATATTTAAAAATTGAGCTTAGACAACCCCTGTACCTGAACATTTTTGCTTAAAGTATCGGAAATATTTAAGGGATGTATTCCAAAATTTTCTGTTATTTGTTTATCACAAGTGATAGACTTACCTTACTTATGTAAATGTTCTATGATTTTTTTCTTTAGGAAGAGGAGATCAAGATGGCTACACAACTGTCTGGCCCAGTTATGCCAATCAGAAAGACCTATAAACCAGAAAAAGCCAGGAAGATTACAGATGAGGAGAAGAAATTCAGTGCTTTCACCGCTCTTCGTCAAGCCCGTGCTGCCAAGAGACTGCAGGGCTACCGTGAGAAGAAAGCTAAAGAAAAGGCTGAGGAAGAAGCTAATAAGCCCAAGAAATAAACTTCACAGTCTTTACAATAAATGTGTACAAAGAATTCTTGTTTGTTTATTTAGGACTTTTGTATAAAGAGTAAAGCTTAGAACACCACTTTCTCCCTCACTGAGGTTCTAGTATATTTTCAACACTCTCCTATACATGTATTTTATACATTTTATTTCTCAGGTTCTTATTTTGAGATTCTGGAGTTAACATGTATGTAGGGATTCTAAAATGTTTTCTCATAATTTGAGGGGCAACAAACTGAATAAGAACCCTGGCAATCGATGACCAAATGACTAAGGTCATCTTTAAAAAGTTGTTTGTTTGCCCTCTCCTGACTGACTTACTAAAAATGGCCCAACTCGAATCTTTTTTTTAACCTCTGGAAATTTTTTTTATTCATTCCGAAGTTTTCACACCTATTAATTACTATTTTAACTTCATATTCGCAGGTGTTTTTGAATTGAAAAAAAAATCTTCCCCCTACCATCCTACCTAAAGGAGAAGGGTGAACATGACGAGCGATAAGCCTATAGTGTGACAAACATGAAGATGAAAAATTAAATTTCAATTATATGAAAATTTTCCTTGATATTTCGTCTAACATTAAAATATACTTATGTAAAATCTCTACAATTTGCAAAAATCCCGCAAAGATTGAAATTATTTGCCTGTGAAATATTAGACACATACTAGAGCGGGGAAAAAGAGTCATTTTCGCATACTATAACACTATTTTTCGATATGAGTGGGTCTTGGCTCCACCTTTTTGAAAGTTAATTCTCAAAGTTTGCATAAAAATATACATTTTTTGGTTACCAAAAATATGGAGCAATGACCCATTATACCTCAAAAATATACTTTTATGACATAACATTCGCATCTTTTCGAGAAATACTTGAAGTTCATTAAGTCAAGGGTCATATCGTCAGGACTTGTGTAGTCTAGTGGTTAGCGTGCTAGTCTCGAAAGAAAATGATACTCAGGATTTTTATTGCTAGGGTTCGAACCCCACGAATACCACATTAATTTTTTTTAATAAAAGAATAAATTTTTCCGAGAAAATTTTCCACAGAAAAGTTTTGTTTATCACAATTTCATAAATTTCAATAATGAGAACTTTACTCTGAATATTAAATTCACAAACTGAACATGATTTTTATATTTCTGAAGGCATAGGCTTTCTGCACGCTATGTTCGCCCATCTCCTTTTTTATCCCGAGTTAGAGAGGGCAAGCAAGCGATTTTTTAAAGATTGCCTAATAATGGCTAATGAGGAGAAATGTGGCAGACTATAACACCTTGCTGACTTCACTACAGCTCCATATGGCCTAAAAAAATCTTTTATGATTTTGAGGTCCAAAGGCCAAGGTCATAAATTCATACATTCTTTCTGTGTGCAACACTTTCGGGCGATATCTTGAAAAGCATTTGAGCTTTTACTTAGAATTTTATAACACAACCGTCTATGGCCTAAAGGAGACCCCAATTGATTTTGAGATCCAAAGGTCAATGTCATAATTTTATTCATTCTGTCTGTGAAACACTTTCGTTTCTGATATTTAAAAAGCCTTTGAGCAACTAATCAGAGAATTCGATTAAGGTAGTCTGATCCTCAGGTTCTGAAAATTAGCTTTTCAGTACCGGTAATTGAAAATGCTCACAAAAATGTCTTGGATTTCACAGAATAACGTGTATTTACCCATAGATTTCTTCAAAGTTCATCAGTAAAGAAGATGGGTGAACAAGGTGCGCAGAATGCCTATAGCTTCAGATATTAAAAAAAATCGTATTCAATTTGTGAATTAAGTATTTAAAGTAAAGTTCTCATTATTGAAATTTATGAAATTATGATCAACAAGACTTTTCTGAGGAAAAAAGATCTCAGAAAAAATTATTCTTTTATTTAAGAAATGAAATGGTATTCGTGGGATTCGAACCCCTAACAATAAAAATCCGGAGTATGATATTGCTTTGAGACTAACACGCTAACTACTACGCTACACAGCTCCTGATGAATAGTGACATTTAAATCATGTTTGTGATATGACAACTTAATGGACTTCAAGTATTTCTTGGAAAGATGCGAACGTTTTGTCATAAAAGTGTACTTGTAAGGTATAGTGGGTCCTTGCTCCATGTTTTTGTAAACCAAAAAATGGAGCGAAGACCCATTCAGATCGAAAAATTTTGTTTAAGTATGACAAAATGATCCTTTTTGTCCTCTTCAGTGTGTGTATGCTATTTCGTAGCATATTTTAGTCTTTGTGAGATTGTAAATTGTAGAGATTTTACATAAAGTATACTTTAATGTTAGATGGAATATCAAAGAAAATTTTGATATAATTGAGATTTTATTTTTCACTTTGTGTTTGTCACACTGTAGGCACTTCGCCCGCCTTGTTCACCCATCTTCTTTAATCATATCAGGGAAAATTATCACATCTCAAATATATTTTCAGTACATGCGAATAAAAGCACCAGTTATGGATTTTCTAATTGAAAACTGATCAACAAATATATTTTTTGATTCAAAATTATAGGTATCCAGGCATTTGGAGAAAATGGCATGTTTTGCACACTTACACAGTATTTTAGTTCTTCTATTTACTTCAATTGTTATAAAATACATAGTGTAAAAAGTTTGTGTTATCATTGCAAGACATCCCAGATCACTTCTAATTTCATATCATGCTAATAAGCATTGGGATCTAATACTAGATTAGATGAAATTTGATTTCTCTGAAAATGATTTATTTTTGTACTTTTGTGGGGTTCAATGTCAACTTTTTATACGAACCTTAAATCATATTGAGATGCATAAAATGAAAATTGTTGCAAGAAAATATTTCAATTTCAAGCTTCATTTTGAGACTATTAAAATTAAATAATAGATTTAAGAGTTATCGTTCCTATCTGAGGATCTGATATCCTTAAGTGTAGGAATTTTGTTGTGCATATATTTTTTTCAGTCCTGTGCACCTTTTTGTGTGTTCAGATTGGCTCAGTTTCAGAATGTGTGTTTTCCTATGTCTGCCTAAATGCATTGATAAAATGAAAATCCAAAATCTCTGAAAATAGCAGTCTTTGAAAATGTTGTAATTCTATATTGATTTCAGAGATTTTTTATTTTTATTTTAATCAATGAATTCAGACAGTTCCATTCTTAATTGGATCATAATGTGTTTGTTCAGTTTTTGTCGTGTTCATTTTTGTTTAGGCCATAAACGTATAAGAATGGGTCTCCTAGATCATCTTTAAAAAAAAAAAATGTTTGCCCTCTCTTTTGGAATCCTTATACGACAACCAACTGCTTACTGCTCACTGCTTACTGCCAACTGTTCACTGCTTACTGCCAACTGCCACACATATCTGAATATATTTTCATATCTATATTGATATGTATTTGAATTTTCATAAAACCAGGCACGGATCCAGGATTTTTTTTTCCAGGAGGGGTCCACCCCAGTTAAAAAAAAATCCAACCCAGAAATATCTTTACAAGAAAAAAACGTAAACTCCTTTCCAAAACGTGAAAAAACATATTTCATGGTGGTGGTGGTGGTGGGGGTGGCTTCTTATGCTTCATATCCAAGACTTTTCATACCAACTTAACACGGATCCGCGTTTTCTAAGGGGGGGGGGGTTTCCAAGGTCACTTTTAGTTGATTTAGTATATGCATTAAATAGCACTACATATTCCGGGGGGTCCGGACCCCCCCCCCCCCCCAGTACCGCGCATGTAAAACATAACTTATTTGGGAAAAGAAAGAGATCATAAATCTTAAATTTGAGAAAATTTTTCACTATAGAAATTAATGGATAATGGAAATTGGTCTTCAAAACATCTTTCCCCGCGAAACAACAAATCCTTGTTTTCAGTTTTTATGAATTGAAAACGTTATTTCACAAAATAATTCCAAATGTTATGTTGTCTCAGGGGAGGGGGGGGGGGGGTGGTTAAAGATTAAAAAGAGGAAAATAGTCATTTTATTACCCATTTCAAATGAGATAACAAGTTAAAAAAATAATGTATTTTATCACTTTATCAATCTCATATGATGAATTTTACATAAGTAAAACATACGGTGAGATTTAAGTGTCATTTATCCATTTCCATGAGTATTTGAAAATCTGGTGATGTTTTCAGCCTGATTTCAATTGATACCCCCTTATGAATTTTCTACCCCCTTATGAAAGGAGTTGTAAATTAGAGCAATTAACTTTTTGTCACTGGTTTTCAAAATTAGTACTTAGTACTAATGAACTTTTCTTTGCATTCAAACAAGTTTTAATGTCCAAACTGCCATTTATATTGATTTAAGCAAAATTTGGCGGATTTAGGAATTTTCAAACTGCAAAGGCGAGGAAGGAGTAAATCGGAAGAAGGAGTATTTCCTCTTAAAAACAAAACAATAATTTCTGCATTTCCTTGCAGGCAAATAATTTGGTAGCTTTTATTGACGCGGAAATGGGGGGGGGGGGGGTGGTGGTCACATACGACAAAAGAAACTTTTAGAAGGGTCTTGAGTAATATTTGTTGGTATATGTATTTATACTAGAAATATTACTGAAAATTATAATAACATAACTTTTGCCTAGTGTAAAATATCTAGCAAAATCTTTCGGTGTTTCTTTTTACCCTAGGAAAAGTACCTCTATTTGGGAATTTTTATATGTGTCTTATGTAAATCGATTTAATGGCTAATGTTAGATCTGTAAAATGTAGTGGTGATGGGGGGGGGGGGGGGCGTACCCACTAAATTTCTAACAATACATATACTATACAGTAGTGCTCCCTCAATAAAGACGCCTGTGACTTTTTTGTTATTTTTTGTCAAGGGAATTATGTTTGGTTGTGCCCCCCCCCCTTCCCCCGGACTGAAATTGCTTTTCCTTGTCCGAGATCAACTGTTTTTATATAGAGTAAAAGGCCTTTATGATTTTTTATTAGTATTTCTGATATAAATGCATATACCAACAAAATATTACCCAAGATCCTACAAAAAGTTTGCCCCCCTTTTTTTCTGACGTATATTTAAGCCTTTAATATCCCCCTCCCCCCCCCCCCCCCGTCAAAAAATCTATTGAATTGTTTGTCTGCAAGGAAATGTGGGAATTAGATGTTTTGTATTTAAGAGGGAATACTCTTTCCTCCTATTTATTCCTTCCTTGCCTTCACTGCTTAAAAATTAAATTTTTTTGTAATTAAGGTTCATAAACCCTCTCACTCATATCAAATGTTTCTTTAACTCTTATGATTTTCCAAAAGAAATGTATTTTTAAGTAAAATACAAACAAATATAGCATAGCTTGCGGGGCAAAATTGGACAAAAAAGACACTTCAACTTGACAAGATTATAAAGGAATAGACATTTACATGTATATCATTAAGAGTTGTCTCTCTTATCAGAGTATCGATGAACCTTAATATTATTGTTATCTATCATAGGGTTTATTCAATTAAGCATGCCTATTAAATATATTAAAGATAACAAAACAGGCAATATCATCTATGAGCAGTGGCAGTTGGCAGTAAGCAGTTGGCTGTCGTATATGGAATTCCATAATTCTGAACTTTCAAAATTTATTGAAATATTGAAGGTATTAAAATAAATGGTTGTAGAAGGGATGAAAAATTAAGGAATGAATAAAAACAAATAATCGTTTTCTGGAGGTTATAAAAAAAGTTTTGAATATGGCCATTTTAGTCGGTCTGTTGGGAGAGGGCAAACATGACCCCCGCCACCTCCCGGTCTGACAATTTTTTTATTTAATTTTTGAATTAATGTACTAAAAAAATATTTTGCCACAGTGAAAGATATTCGCTATTCTCAATGACATCCAAACGATAAAGACGCAAGACTCAAGATTTCTGGTATGTATCGATTATAGTAACTTAGCATATTATAATTAATATCGGGCTCGATGTGCACTTTTGACCTTGAAGCGAAAGTAGCATGTTTCGCTGTTTGGTTACTGTGCATAGATGCATCAAAAACAACGAAATATTGAAGTTGTCTTTAAAATCCTGTGTCTTATTTGTAAAAGGAACTAATAACGCCTGCACACATTCGGCAAGAACGGCAAGTTTTGATCTTGTTGGACTAAAAGCATTTGTAAGGGAACCTGTGCACTGACAGAGTTGTCTTGGTGTCTGTAGTATATATATTCTATTTTGCATATTTTGTAGCTATATCTGTGTTCTGTGCCTACTCAAAAATGTTAGAAAGTTGATTTTTAGGCCAAAATTTAAATCAGCGAATCTGATTAGGTTTGGTCAGCTTGAGGATATAATCAGATAATAGCCTTTATGGGCATTTTTAGAGGGAAAAAATGAGAAAAAAGTGAGCTAAAAGTATTGTAAAACTATTGATAAACAAATTATTCTGTATTCCTAATGTTTAGAACAACATTGATCCAACAGAAGTACAAAGTTGGGATCAACCCCTCAAAACATCTTTGCAAACCAAAGGTTTCCGACCCACTCCTCTGCTCTCCAACCCAATTCTTGAAGAGGAGTGGATTGGAAACATTGGCTTTTTAAGATGTCTCACATACTGTATGGTTTTGGAAAAATTTAGTTGCCAAAAGTTTTTGCATTCCATGCATATTCATGCAGTTAACTTAGGAAATATAACTACACTGAGCACTGATCCCCTTTCAGATACATGTAGTAAATCCCAGATGTGCTATTATATCCCATTTGGGCAATTGATCCCATGTTTTTGGTCCATTTGTCTGTCCTCCCATCACTGCAAGCTTAAATACATCATTTTGTCAAGTTCAAAAAAGCAGTTATATGTGATTGTTATGCCCCCGCCATGAATATGGTTTGGGCATATAGTGTTTGCCATGCCCGTCCTCTGTCCTCCATCCTTTTGTCACATTTTGTGTTTAGCTCAGTTTCAAAGAAACTGACATGTTTTTATCAAACTTTATATGCTGATACATATTGGTGAGGGCTTTTCCATTTCATCAACATTTTTTACTCTGATCTTTCCTTTGATGTTGACTGAAACTTTTCAAAATTATGTGTTTAGTTCAGTATTCAAGATGTTTTTATCAAACCTTATATGCTGATACAAATTGGTAATTAAAGTTATTCAACTTTATCAACATTTTTTGACCTTGACATTTCCTATGACCTTGACCTCTCTTAAATTTTGTTTTTAGTTCATTTTAAAAGAAACAAATCAAGATATTTTTATCAAACTTTATATGCTGATGCATTTTAGTGAGTGCTATTGAATTGCATTTTTCAGCAAACTTCATACTCTAATAGAAATTTTCATGTTGTATTACTAATGAATCCTGGGTGGGGCATTCATGTCCTTTGGACATATTTCTAGTTTAAATTTGGGGGGGGGGGGGGGGTCCTAAAATTTGTGTATTTAAAAGATTCCATGATGTTTTTGAAACTTTGAATATATGTACTTTGTTGTTTTATTTTATAATGTATATTTTCTTATTTCAGACAAATCATCAACATGTTCACGTGGTGTACTTAAGTTACAAGTCTCCAAATCCATTTGCACAACCTGAAGGAACTGGGTCTGATCCATGTGACAGAGATTACAAGGATGGCGTTGACAGGGAATTCCGCTTGGTTTATGCTCTGGGCAATATTGATAAGGGATACATGTTTATTGCAGGCATTGCATTAGGCTTTCCTCTGCTATTTCTGTTCAAGATCAGCTATTTCTTTTACAAAGAACATAAGGAATTAGAGTATGCATCCAATGACCTGTGGGAGATATTTAATAATTGTGTGGAAATTTACAACCATCTTCCTGTATCATTTGAGTGGCTATATGTGACATGTCATATCACTTTATTTGGAGGACTCGTATATTTTCTTTTTGCAAAGAACACCATCGGTAGACTGTATTACAGTGCCAAACAGGATCGCTATATAGCAATCGTGTATAAGTATGGATTTAAGAGGAAGATAGAATTCAGTAGAAAAGACATTGAAAGAAAACCTGTTTTTTATGAAAAATACATAGATAAATTACGAGTAGACATTGGAAAGAAAAAAAAATACTATGTTTATGAAAATTGTTTTAGAGACACAAGTGACCGTAACAGGTTTTTCTCTGATATAGCTTCTGATGACTATATTGATGAATTAAATAAGTAAACATGTATTAGAATTTTTGAAAAATGTTGTGAAAATAAAATAGATGTAGTATAAAAGTTATTTGTGTCATATTTATCTGTATTGATAAGGTCAACTTTAAAATAAAGTTTGTTTGACCTCTCCTGACTCAGGATGGGTTGGTAGGTAGGTAGGAAATATTTCTTTCCAGAAAATTTCAACATCAATGCTGAATTTTCAAAATCTATTTTCCAGAATGATTAAAACAAGAGGCCCATGGGCCACAACGCTCACCTGAGTAACTTTGGCCCTGCTGTTCTTCACCAGACTTTCCCCCATGTAATACACCTATTGTGGTCCCATCCTATCCCAGGGGTCATGATTTTAACAATTTAGAATCTACACTACCCCAGGATACTTCTACATTAGTTTCAGCTTTTCTGGCCCAGTGGTTCTTGAGAAGAAGATTTTTTAAGATTTTTTCTATATATTTCAATGTAAAACTTGGATTCCCTATTGTGGCCCGGCCCTACCCCCGGGGGTCATGCTTTTAACAATTTATATCTACACTACCCCAGGATACTTCTACATTAGTTTCAGCTTTTCTGGCCCTGTGGTTCTTGAGAAAAAGATTTTTAAAGATTGTTTCTATATATTTCAATGTAAAACTTGGATTCCCTATTGTGGCCCCGCCCTACCCCCGGGGGTCATGATTTGAACAATTTAGAATCTACACTACCCCAAGATGCTTCCACATTAGTTTCAGCTTTTCTGGCCCAGTGGTTCTTGAGAAGAAGATTTTTAAAGATTTGTTCTATATATTTCAATGTAAAACTTGGATTCCCCATTGTGGCCCCGCCCTACCCCCTGGGGTCATAATTTTAACAATTTAGAATCTACACTACCCCAAGATGCTTCCACATTAGTTTCAGCTTTTCTTGCCCAATGGTTCTTGAGAAGATTTTCAAAGATTTTTTCTATATATTTCAATGTAAAACTTGGATTCCCTATTGTGGCACCGCCCTACCCCCGGGGGTCATGATTTTAAAAATTTAGAATCTACACTACCCCAGGATGCTTCCACATTAGTTTCAGCTTTTCTGGCCCTGTGGTTCTTGAGAAGAAGATTTTTAAAGATTTTTCCTATATATTTCTATGTAAAACATTGATTCCACATTGTGGCCCTGCCCTACCCCCGGGGGTCATGATTTGAACAATTTAGAATCTACGCTACCCCAGGATGCTTCCATATAAGTTTCAGCTTTACTGGCCCTGTGGTTCTTGAGAAGAAGATTTTTTAATGACCCCACCCTATTTTTGTCTTCCCTTGATTATCTCCCCTTGTGAGGGGACTTGGCCCTTCATTTTAACAATTTAAATTCCCCTTCACCCAAGGATGCTTTGTACCAAGTTTGGTCAAAATTGGCCCAGTGGTTCCTTAGAAGAAGTCAAAAATGTGAAAAGTTTACAGACGGACAGACGGACGGACGACGGACAAAATGTGATCAGAAAAGCTCACTTGAGCCTTCGGCTCAAGTGAGCTAAAAACTAATTGTTTCCTGGAGGTTAAAAGAAAAGTTTTGATTTGGGCCATTTTTAACCAGTCAGTCGCAAGAGGACAACCAAACAATTTTTTTTTCAAAGATGGTCTTATGGACCTTTTTTTAAATAACTATTCACTTTTTTGCAAATGAATGAATTGATTTTATTTTGCTTAACATGATTCAGATGAAAGTGTGTCTTTATCTGTTTGTAAACTTATAAAAATTTGAGATTTGGATGCATTATTTTTGGAAGGACTAGATCTCTAACCCCCAAATCCCCCAAAATTATAGTCATCAGTTGGCAAACAAGGTGTTAAGAAATGGGGACAGCAGAGATGTATTTTTGTCCACTTCTAAAGTGCCAAATGGGATACAAAAATTCTTGTCAGCTTTTGTGAATGCACATTTTGGAGCTTTCAGATTTACTAATAACTGGTTTTTAAATGCACTTTTTGCAAGCAGGATAAGGATATTTTTACTTGTTCTTTTTCATTTGGCAGATATTTTGTATTTTTTAATTCATAATTATCAGTGAGGGTGGTTTGAGACAAATTATACATTCATATTATACTGGGATTCAAAAAGGGGTTTGCATATTCATGATATGCTTCAAGATAGTCATGACTTGTTGGTAGGTTGTCCTTTGTCAGCTGCTACTATTTTAAGGAGGTAAAAAAGGTCAAAACTGATGTCATTTAGAAAACCTATCATCCAGTAACCCCCCCCCCCCTCTTTCCCCCAGTATGGTCTTCTCAGCATGCTCAGTATAGAGTTAAACTTCCCATCAGGTGATTAAATATGTAGAAAAAATTTCCATATCAATTTACTCTATGTAAAATAATTCCCGGGGGGGGGGGGGGGGGGTATTCTCTTCATAGAAAACATTCCTTTGGTTTGGAAATCTCAATACTTCATGGAAGAGTTTGTTTTAATATATTTTTCTCACTAATCCTGATTATTCTTCCTTAGTGATTTGTCATAGTTTAAGAGAAAGTATTCCTGTTTCACCCTAGTTTCCAATTTTGCCTGAGGAGACAGTGGCATAGCTAGGAACGAACAGTTCTAAGTGCATGATTGCTCAAAATGACAAGCAGACTGAGTTTGCCCTAAGGCCCACAGTGGGTCCAGGGCAAAGTTCTGGTTGGGGCCCAGGGGTCAAAACCCCCACAAGAGTCAACTGAAGAAATCAAAAGTTCAGATAGTGATATCTTTAATTGAATTATTTTGGTCTCTTTATAAGTATTGATGCACCCATTAATTCCTCAACAAAGTTAAAAGAATAATTCAAGATATCCTAATTGAATTTAAGTGATCAACAGGTGTTCAACTTGTGCTCAGCTGATATGCTTTTCTGTGAAGTTGATATACCTATGGATTCAGGTCCCTAGCAACGGATTCAAAAGGGGGGCAACTTCCCAAAAAATCTGACAAGCAAAAAAAAAACTGACCAAAAGTGGGGGGGGGGGGGTTAACTTCCAAAAATTATCTGACAAGCAAAAAAAAAAGGTATTTTACTGTCCGAATCCTGAAATTTGCCAGTGCTCGACCTTAAAACATTAAAAGGGGGGGGGGAGGCATTATTTAAAGGAAAATTTACTATAGCAAAATAGTAATACTCAGAAAAAAGTAGCCCCCCCCCCTCCGCGTTCTACGGGCCTGGGATTTATGAATTGACTGAATCAAAGGGTTACATTTGTTATATTATTTTCCTCGGAAAAGAAAGACACAACAAATTCATTATATATAGGAATTTGTATGTTTTAAAGAGTTTATAAACACATCTTTGGATTTTCCTTAAGTTATTTTTAATAACTCAAGTCAATATCGTAAAATATAATTTTGCACGTGCAATTTGTTATTATTTCAGTAATTGAATATAAAAACCTTCTAAATCAATTTATATAAATAAATACAACTGTAGTAATTTTTTATTTTTTTATTTGTCAGCACTAAAACTAATTTAACATGCAAAAAATTTTAAAACTTAACAAAGTACATGGAATGGTATACTAAATTGAACAAGCACTACATTTTAAAACGTGAACATTGAATGATGTAAATAAATGCACTAACACTAGATTTTAAAATTTGAACTTTGATGTGTTTTTTTTTTTTCCTTAAAAAGTACAATCATTCACGGTCATATTTCACAAACACGTCACTTAAAAAAACTTGTCCAGCATATTGTCTGTGCAGTCTTGGATCGCTTCATCACAAGCAAATTTTCAAGTTGTAGAATGATTTCTCCAGTCATGGGCTTAAACGTTAATATTTAGCGCTCCATATGTATACATGTATATTTCGCGCAAGGTACTATTTCTGATAGAAAGATAGGCGAAATGGAAATGTAAAAAACGAAGGTTTTTGTACGCAACTTAAACATTTTTGTTATATTTAATACATGTACTGGAACTTGATATCACCCAAACCCATTTCATTAATTTGGCCCTCCTTGATCTTAGGAAAAATTAATCCTAATGAGAATCAGACAAGTTCATTACTCCCTGTATACTCCCATACACATAGGGCCTTGTCTTCCGGATTGTTAATTGTAAAATAAATTAATAAAATTTTGAATCTTAAATACACTTAAAAGTTGTTAAAATAAAAGATTCTGACACCGACCTTTAGTCAAGAAAAACCACTTTTAAAAAAGACGTACCATAACTATATACACATACTCGAAAAGTGTCAGAATCTTTTATTTTAACAACTTTTTAAGTGTATTTAAAGTAGATTCAAAATTTCAAAATTTTGTTAACTTATTTTACACATTGCCCACACACTAAAATAATGATGAAAAAATCCAGCAGCTACCCAATATGTCTATGTTTCGATGTTGCATGCGGAAATGTGTATTTGATTGATATTCAAACGAAAACCACTTCTATTTCACGCATATCGGTTTTACGGAACTTCCTATCGGGTTTTCTCTAGAACTTATTTTTAAAATTAGGTCTTAGAAACGTTTAAGAGATATACGGGAATACACAACTGTATTTATTAACAATGAAAAGGATTTTCCCCTGTTTTATATTTTCTTATCGAGACGATCATTCATAATATGAAATCATCTTTATTTTTTACCGTTTGCTCAACATCTTTATATTTGTGAGGACATATCAATCAGTATACAACATGGCTGATACCGATAGTAACTCACAATACGACGAATTTATCATAGATTCGTCTAAATTGCAACTGGTTCTTGAAATCCAAAATAAGATTGAGCAAATGTTCAGTGTCAGTGTTTATGTCGACGAATCCACAGATGTCAAATGTGAAAAGAGCTGGTTGAAACTCGAGGGACAAAATTGTGACAGGAAAAATGCCAGGGTAATGATAACTCATGAAAAAATCCCAATCACTAGTTTGTAAAGCACAGTAAGAAATGAAGGACATAAACAATTTCTGGACACTTATAAATTTTGAATTACTTGGAGGTAAATTGAAAATTTACAATATGATAACTCTCTTGTTGTAAATTTTGCATTTACGTAAATGTACTTCTGGTAAATTTAAAATTAATAACA